TCAAGTTGAGATCATAGACAAGGAACACCATTGGAAAATTCGTAAACTTAAGGAATCAGCACATATGCTAGGCCACAAAAATCTCCTGAGCTGACCAAGCATAGAAATAAATACAATATGGGAACCAGTAATAAGGAGTGCCAGAGAAAAGTGATAATAACAAAGTTGCAATATGAGCTCTGGTAAAAACATGCAATGATAACAGCAAAAATTGCAATATGAGCACTAAAAAAAAAATGCTTGCTGAAGACATTAGGTTTATAATACCCAGAAATTCATACACGGATGTTCTCAAGGAAACATGGCACAGTGGATAATGGCGTTGGTTAGATCCAGTGACAGTTCAATACCTGGTTAAGGTGATGGAGAACTTTGAGAGGGGAATTAACAGGAGATAACTGATAACTGACATCCATTAAACATGGCACGTGGAACTAGTGAGCAAAATAAAGGGTTCAGTTCGACATTCCAACCACCTGAAGAAGGCCGGAGCATACAATGGCCGAAATGTTGTAATAAATATGGCAACAAAGATGAGGACAATAGTCCGAATAATGTAAATAATGTACATAATACCTCATCTCAGAAATATAGACTGGTACTTTTTTGTTGTTATTTTATTGTCCTATTTCCTCACTAAAGTCTTCTCATTCTCATTCTCTCATAGCCTTTACATGTGAACTGCATTATTTACTTGCTTGGGTTGAAATGATTAAAAAAATAAAATAATGCTGCTTCCTTAAAAAATGAATTACATTCTGTGATTTACAATAAAATCCAACAGAAACATGAAAAATATACAAGTGAAAAAATTATGATGGTAATAAATTCATAGACTATGACATCTAATGATAATAATATCAAAAACAACATGAACAAGATCAAAGGAATGCACATAAAAAATTAATATAAAAAGTAGATATTGATTCAAGATAATTATTTTAAGAATTTGAAAATTTAACTTCTTTAATGAATTTTCCATAAAGTGTGGGGAAGGCAAAAATAATTGCCCCCCGCCCCTCAAACTCAGTCAGTTATCTGCTATGTGTGATACACGCTTAGGCGATCATGTATCTTTCGATACATGACAGACGAAGCAGATTTTTTCCTGCAGTAGGTTGCCATTTCTTTCTTCAGTAGACCAGTTGCTATCCAAGGCTATAGAACCTGGTCTGTCCTGCTATTTACCCATAGCTGGGGGGGGGGGAGAAGAGGTTTCATACCTTTCCCAAGAGTAAGAGAATGTAATAGATTCAACTGGAATTCAAACTCAGCTCTCCAATTCCTCAATCCAAGCTGCTATCCATAACTCCACCATGCCTCCTCAAACTACTCGAGTATAAAAGAAATGGTTGAACATTACTTATGGGCAGTTCGTTTGTACTGAATAAAGCTTCACTTCAAGCTTAAACATTCATCTGTTTTTTCTTTAATTGATTTGTTTGTTTAGTGGCATATCAACTCCTTATGGGTCATTTAATACCAAAATTTAACTTTCTTGTGAGTGTTAGTAATTTCTTTCAGAAAAATGTATTGCTTGTAATTTTTTTTTCAAAAATGGATTGCTGGTAATATTTTTTCTTTCAAAAATGTATGGCTAGAAATTTTTTTACTAAAAAATGCTCATATTTGTACTAGAAAAATATAGTTTTATACTTTCATAGTGTTTTGACCTCAGTTTGGGGATTAATTATTTGCCCATATTTAGGGACCCTAACAGATGCTACCACCCCGAGTCAGGGTGGACCTGGGAACAACAGCAATTAAGAGATAGTTCCAAGCTCCTTAAAACCTTATCAGAGACCTTGCTGTCAGATGTAATTGGGCATCATACCCAGGACACTCTTTATATGAAGTAACCTGACAAGAACATCAAACCTAAGAGATCATTATATTTTCCACTGCTCATTTTCACATTAACTTGTAATGTCCGACAGATTACGAACAATAGCCTTTCACTTCTCTTTAACTCAGACAAAAAATAAAAACAAATATCTATATTTAAATTCAAAACAATAAAAATAATAAATGAGATGTTTGAAGATTTACATTTTCCAAATCTTATTTCTTTATGTATTTTATACTCTGCTTCAAATTAGAACTGATTCATTCTACATCAAAACCTATCAGATGGATGTGAACATGAAGAAAGCAAGACTAAAAATAAAAGTCACTGTCTCTGCAGTGTATCCAGCTCACAAAATAAATTCCCTCAAAAAAAAAAAAAAAAAAAAAAAAATAATAATAATATAAAAGGAACCAATCATGAACGTTACTGCTAAAGCAAAAAGCATGACAAAAAATGCTGAATCATGATCCACCACTCTTAACGCTGTCGGCAGTCATGACAAATGGGCAAGCTATCAGCATCACCACCAGTGACCTCGGTCAACCAACCTGACACACGCATCAACTCAAGGCCCTACCAAATCTCCCCATCCTTTAGTTCACTCCGCTCACCCACAAAGAGACATTCTGTCTTGAATCCTCTATATCGGCAATACAATTCTTGTCTTGTTTTCTTTCCATCTCACTGGCGGTACCTTGTTATTTTGTTTGTTCTCTCATGCTACTATATGCATCTTTATAACATGTATTATTTGATAATTATATCTTTTATAAAATAGTACCAAATTGGACAATATCAGAACTATGTTGAACAATGTTTTCTTTGTGTTTTTTAATGCCCTGTCTTTTCAGGAAGTAGGTAATCACGACTCCTCACAGACTCACCTTTCTTTATTATCTCTGAAAAACCATGACTTCTTGAGAAAGACAGTAGAGTGGCTTCCCATGTCCTTCTTGATGGGTTTGATGTATGCAAATATAACAACTAGACTGACTGCAACATAATAAAGGGCACTATTTCTCCTGCTATTTAACCAAAACTGGAGACAGGGCTAATGCAAACGTCCTCTGCCCCCCGCCTCGAATCTATGATATGCACCCGCCTTACTACATCTCAATTTTCATAAGGTAGTATTCATATAAAATACAAATTTTATTGTAACCTAATTATGTACAATAATGGATCATATTCAATATAGGTGAACAATTCAAGTAGAAAAATTGGAAATAAATACAATGTATCTAAATACAAATTAGAGACATGTCATAATAGATCATTCCATCTTAAATAAATCAATGTTTCATGGTAATTTTTAACATCAGCTTGAAATTTTTCTTGTTAAAAAGTTGAAGAATTTAAAACATTCAACATTATGGATAAATTATAGTGATTTTTTAAAGTGTTTTTTTGAGACTTAACAAGAGCTAAAGAAATTCATGAATTTGGACAAAAAAAAAAAAAAAAGACCCCAGAATGATGTCAAAATCCACAAAAAAATTGTCATCTTTTAATAATCAATTGTGCTTAGATTAACTTATAATGTATATAAATATAGAGAGAAAAAAGCAAATGTCGATAAGACAGTGAAAGTCACAAAGCAGTGTCTGGGGCCTCGAATCAGCTTTGAATCCCCATCTTGGTTGGGGTTAGTACGCACCATCCCTGGCTGGAAAGATGAAAAATAGGTGGATTCATACCTTTCCTAAGGGCATTTGTACAAAAATGAATATAACAAACTGGACTGGGAATTGAACACAGTTCTCAGATTCCACTTCTCATGCCATTAACCATCATTCTACCTGCATATCAAATCTTTATATTACTGCTTTTAAATCACAGTGCTTTTTTTTAGAAAAGCTCTATGTGGATCCTGATCTGGTGTTCTGTAAGGGAATCTTGACTGCCAGAGGGATTGGTGGTTTGATTAGACTAATCTTACAGACTGATAAGAAGAGCAGCCAAGCATTAAAAGACAGCACTTAAAAGAATCCTTCAGCCGCACACAGGTTTGGCCTTGAAGAAAGAAAAAAAGAAAAAAAGCAGAAGGATGTCAGAAGAGGAAATGACATGGAAGACTTTTGAAGAAAGATTTTCTATGAGATAATAGATTTTTGTAATGCAAGCTTTGAAATGTTATACACAGAGATATATTAATATGTCTATAGCCTAAAAATGAAAAAACTGCACTTATTTTACACAACAAATATTTATTTTTCAGCAATCTTTTTTTTTTGTCAATGCATTTAACCAAATATTTTTCCATTAATCATATACCTAGTTTTATTATACAGTAAAATTTCAGATTTACATCTAAGTAATTATGGAAGTTGAATTTTATAAATTGTTTTTAATCATTTCATCCCATGCAAGGGAGTAAAGCCACAAAGACACAAGGAGTTACTGAGTGTGAAAAAATTACAAAATAGAAACATAATTAAGGCGCAAGAACAATAGAAGAGTAATCAGGAAGACAGGAGATAATGATTGACACTGATCAAAGTTTGCTGGAAAGCATGGAGCCAGAAGAGAGTTCTACAAGCAAGAAGTGTGAGAAAAGAAACTTTTAGCATAGAACTTATGGTTACATCTAGCTATTTTAACTGTTAAATGATGATAGGTTGTTTTTATAGGTTATCAACCTTTGTGGGTTATTTAAAGCCAAAAGTGGAATAATTATTTTTTTAAGGGAATATTGCTATAGCAATTTTTTAAGAATAACAATGATTTTTCCGAATAAAAGTCCTACTATTTAACCCATAGGTGAGGAGAGAAGATGCATTCATACTTTTCTCAATGGTATTTGCGTGTAAGTGAAAACACTGGAACTGGCTGGAATTCAAACCCATCTCTCAGATTTCTCATTTGGAGCTCATATTCATTATACCACCCACACATCTAATGATTTTCAGAATGTGACATTATTTGAAACAAGTCCATCAATAAGTCTATAGCTTAATTAAAGAAAGTATTTATTTTGCACAAATATTTCCAATATAATCTTCTTCCTTGGTAATGCACTTAATTCAGTGTCTATTTACAGACATGATACAATGAATATTTCAGATTTAAATTCATCTTTATACTGTGTTGGGATACTGACTTATTGATCCATGATACACACTAGTACACTTATCTTAAAAGAAGGTTTAAGGCCAAATCATATTGAAACACTGGTTATCATATGATCACCAAAGTTAAGCAACATCGTGCCTGACCAGTACCTAGATGGGTAACTCCTTTGGAATACCAGGTACTGTAAGCTTGGATGTGCAGGTGGTGTAATGGATAATGGCTTAGAATTATTAATCAGAGAGTCAAGTTCCAATTCAAGTTGGGTTTGTCCTATTCATTTCTGCACAAATATCCTTGGAAAAGGTGTGAATCCACTTCTCCCCCAGCTATGTGTCAATTAGTAAGACTTGTATCACTAAACCATAATCATCTGCCCTAACAAATTCTTACAATCTTAAAATATTTTCTGGCTTTAAATAACCTGCAAAAGGGTTGATAAACTGTAGAAAATAAATCAATCAATCAATTATCTCAAAAGAAATAAAAAAATTCTGGCATGTGTTTAAAACAAATAGTCAGCAACTAAAAGTTTAGCTTGACTACTATTTACCAAGTACGCTTAAGAAAAGCAGTAGCAATTTACCATCTGCTTACTATGTAATTTTCTTTTTTTTTTAATGTGAAACAATTGAAATAAAATTTGTCAACAAAAATGACAAAATTAACATTCAATCTTGAAATTCCTCATTGGTAAGACTGACTGAACAGGTTTTCAATAAAATTCTCCATAGTGTCTTCATAGATAAAAGAAAGTCCACTTTTCTCTAATATCTGTGAATTGCCATATATCCTTAGGAAAGATAGTGGAGCAGTTTTCTTTAGTAAATTCATGGTCACTTAAAAACTGTGATGAGAACTGAAAGCAACACTATGAAAAATTTTACTGAGAAACTGTTCGGTCAGTCAGTTAGTTTTACTGTCAAGAAATTATAATACTGGAATAGCCAAAATAAACAATGAAATTTGAAGGTTAATTTTGTCATTGTGGTTTAATAAATTTAATTCAATTATTTTGTGTAAAAGTTGGCTATAAATCATTAAGTGGGCAATAAATCATTATTGCCTTTCCTAAACGAATGCACTAAATGGTAGATATACCAAAAGATCTTCTCTCTATATTTTTATATCTTTATCTGCGCAGCTGATCTCTCCTCTGACCACTTACTCTCTAACATCTCTATTTGTGAGATGTAAGTTTTTTTTGCTTTTGTTATTTTTTTTAAAATCAGTATCACTCCATGCAAGGCAATAAAGCCACTAAGACACAAGGAGTTACAGGGTGTGGAAGAATTAGGTACAGAAACATTAATAATGAATGGGAAGAGGAAAGAGTAACCAGAAGCACATTGGATAGTGATTAGAATTGCATTTAAATTTTTGAAGATTAAAATTGGCTGGAAAGCATGGAGCCGGAAGGGAGTTCCACAAGCGAGAAGTGTGAGAAAAGAAACTGTTAGCATAGAATTTATGGTCACATATAGCCAGCTCAAAAAAGTCTTGGTACCATAATGAAGAATTCATTCAAACAATTACCATGAAAGTATTTGTTATTAATCTTCCCAAGAGTCAACTTATAGCAGATAAGGTTGAGTCACCAGAACATTTTTCCATGTGAGCAGATTCTTCCATAACCACTATTATTTGTGGAACCGACTCACAAGCATATGCTTCTCCGATCACTACAATCTTAACCTGTTCAAGTCTTGGGTTAACTGTTATATATAATGAAATCAGAATCAGAAAAGACCAACTGACCATTTTATTACATATGTCCCATAATAGTTGAGACATCTGCATACACATTTTATACACAAAGTGTTATAACCATCATGGGACAGAGGTATATATCTATGACTAATGATTGTTAATTCATATGTTTGATCCTCAATTCACATTAGCAATTATATTAAGCTAAGCTTCTTAATCTACTTAGAGCAATACTTGTCATAAATTATCTACTATTTTGTTACTATAATTTACACCAAGTCTACTTGACTAATCTAGCACTAATAGACATTTTAATATCTTACCAATAATGACAGTGCTTAATATAACTTTTGATTGATATTTCTTTCATCTTAAATATATTTCATGTTATTGCAACTCCCAAGTTGCTATACTGAGACCATGAAATACCAAAAAAACTTAAGATAAAAGTGTGGCAACGAAGGAGAAAACCAAGTCTTATCTCGAAAAGAAATTTGTATTCTTTGTTCTGTCTGTTGAAAAAGAAAATCAGAATCAAGATCAGGTTGACTTTAGTTGGCTTCAAAATATGGTAATTGTTTGTGCTCCCCTACCAGTCTTGGCCAACCTCAACCTTTTTTACCCTAATAAAAGAATGCTATTTTGGACCACAGAGAGTTTTTAGCTCTTCATTCATGAAGACGTATTTGTACGTTTCAAGTTATGTTGAAAATTTTTTACCCTTTTGATTTATGAACCTGGTATTTTCTGACATTGGACTCATGTGACTGATTTTTGACCCTTGGAATTACAACCTTGGAGTCCAGATTATGGGGATCTGAACCTCTCTATGGCTATTTTTGACCCTTGAAATGATGACCTCAGACTTATGATTTTGGGTATCTGAACCCTCTATTGCTATTTAACTCAGAAAGAAATATTGACCAAAGTTAATCATAATAACAATGCTTCCTCTAAAAATACTCTGGATCTGTTTACATGTTCTTGTGACGCGTTTCATTCTTCAGGATTTCATTGAACTAAATTTGTTATGTTGTTATGTCTACACATGCACACAACTGTGGGGTGCTTGGAATTTTAGAAAATTTTTTTTTATCTAGCCGAATTCATTTAGAGTTTTTTTCTTTTGTAAGTAGGTATTTCACACTGTGATATTAGAAGATCTGTCCAGAATGGTGAAATGTTGTAAGAGCCAAGGTGCTAATTTACTGTAGATGACTTTGCAATTAAGGCACTCTCTATACATTTATATCATAGTGAATTATTTTCTCCTTTGATCACAGTAGCATTTTTTTATGTCAAAATTGTGGTCAGTCCCATTATGAGATTTGACATATTATTTTGTAAAATGTCCCTTTTATGTTCATATAATCTTTTGAGATTCCTTGTGGTTTCTCCCATGTATTTTTTGTGACAATTATTACAGGCAATGGGGTGAACTCCTCCATCCAGTTTTAGTTTATTGTTTTGTTTAGTAATGACTAAGTCTTTTATTGTTTTGGATGTAGTAGTAACAAATTTTGTGTTGAGTTTAGATTCTTTTTGATTGTAGATGTGATAGAGTTAATATATATATATATATATCTCACTGTGATGTACCTCGATACATCATTAGTGATGTTTCCTAGGATAATTCAGTATTTCAAGTCTTTCAATAATCAGACATCAGCAATATTTGATCAAACCTCAGTTTGTGTCCAGGAAATGCTACCTCACCCTCACTCTTTTGATCTGCAGCAATGTTGGACATCTGACAACTTAAGTCTACTTATTACCACATAAAAACAAGAAACCATAACAAGAATGAAACCCTAGTTGTTGAAGCTTAAATAAGCATGGAATAATACAACACAAAATGTACGTTAACAAAATGTATTGAAACAAAGAATAGGTACACAATATTTACAGTTAGTTTGGTATATTCTTGGGAAGACTGTTCCTGCATAATGGGTTGACTAAATCGCAGTCGGGCAGAGTCTCTGGATTCAATTTCTTAATCTCTACTATCTTCCCCGTCTTCCGGTACCAACCCATATTTATATGGTCGGTAGTCCGCTTATGTAAATTAGGTGTATCATACACAACACTAGTCAAATGTTATAAATTAGCAAATAGTGTTTTGTCTATTGCTTTATTTTTAATTAGTTACAAACAACTTGAAGCAACAGCTACACACCTGTTGTACCTCATCTAATTCCGTGATACTAAAATATTAAATATAAATAGTTTGGCGGATTTTATATGCTAACAAGTTTGGTTACTGATATCCACATTTGATTGCTGAATCAGCAAAATATCATAATGATTTAATTTTTTACTTTTAGTCATGTGAGCAAACTTGCACAAAGATAAACACCTACCAAGAATAGGCCAGTACAAATTCTTTTCAGATTTATTCAAACTTTAAAATTATGATAGTGATAGACTCATATCAGGATTCATTATTGCCAGCCACAATCTTAACAACATTAGATATGCAGACGAAATAGTGTTGATAGCAGACATAGAAAGGATAACACACAAACTCCTACAGAAAGTAGTAAAGGAAAGCAAGAAGAAAGGACTATACATCAATTAGAAGAAGATAATGTATGGTTGTGAGCAAAAAAGAAGATCCCAACATCTAAATTGGAGATGCCAAAATCAAGCAAGTATGAACATTTAAATATCTAGAAAGTCTTTTAATGAAGGATGAAAAGTGTGACACTGAAATCCGAAGTTGCATTTGGATAGCAAAAGATGCCTTCCAAAAGCTAAGCAAATGTACTTAATTATGTTATTGCATTACTTCTGTATAGCAGTGAATGGGGGAAAACTCATCACAAATGAAGGGACTTGAAACAACAGAAATGTGGTTGTGCAGAAAGATGCTGAGAATACCATGGGTTAAACATATTAGTAATGGCAGAGTTTCAGAGAAAATGGAAATAAAAAGGACACTTATATATAGCATCAGGAAAAGATATTTGACATTCCTATGGCATGTAATGAGGAAAGAGGGCTTGGAAAATTTGACACTAACAGGGCATACTGAAGGCAAGAGGAACAGAGGTAAGCAGCATATAAACCACCTAGAAAGCTTGTGTAAATGGATGACAGGACAGGGTTTAGGAGAGATAGCGAAAACTCAAAATTTAATAAGAGCTATAAAGGATGAGAAATTGTGGCAAGCCATGATTGCCCACATCCAGAAGAACTGTTTGAATTTTCTAGGAAAGCTTGATTTAATTTGAAAAGATACTAGAATAATTCAGAACTTATACTGGGGGTAAACCACCTGCATATGAATAGAAAATGGTTTTAGTAAATATACAAAAATAGAAAGGGTTGTAAGATAAGGATGTCTTCTAACTGCATTTATTCAACCTCTACAGTGTAGCAATTTTGAAAGAATTAGAAACCTACCAGGATTCCAGCAGACATGAGACAGAACCTGGGATGAAGCACAACTGGTCGCGACTTGCTTTGTCCCCAAAAAGAG